TTCAAACCAATAACATATAGTAAAATCCAGTGTAATTCTGAAGATACCACGTGAGCCTAATCAACTTCATTCATTCCACTCAGCCCCAATCAAATGAGTTTAGTGATATTCAATCACACAGAGATAAAACGTTCACCTTTAGTTATGAAATTGAATGTTTATAACTGCAAAATTATGAGTTTTCCCAACTTTATAACACTGTCTTGGTATGAACGCGCTAGGACATTTTGGATTCATTCTTTGTTTGGTCTTTATATTTACACAGAGCAACATAGAATTAAATGATTATGAGACAAACGAGAATATTGTTATTTGGCTTAATAATTTGGTTTCACAAAAATTATAGGCAGCTAGAGATGATAGGCTTTTGTATCTATGAGGATGCCAAAATAGCTGATTTTTAATTTTAATTTTATGGTTCTTAATCTAAGTATAAAATACAGGCATTTGGACCCAGATGATGGCAATGAAATTGCAAAATAAAAGGTCACAATGACTAGATTCTTCTGGAAAAAAATAGCTGGAAATTTTAAATGGATGTTTCTGCTCCTTCTGCTTTAGGCCACTTGCATTGGGTAGAAAGTTCTCATAGATCCCAACATGACTTGCACAATTAAAGCTATCTGTACTTAGTGTGTATATCATCCCTGCTCATAGCCTGGTATGGGTCACTATAATCAGCTCATAGTCAGCTGAGAGTAACTGGTGAAGTGGCGGGAAAATGATTTGGTGGTGCTCAGTGAGGAGAGGAGGGAGGTGGAAGTAGGAGATTTTTCACAGCGTGAGTCACTCCAGAAGGGAGACTCCACACTCTGTGCACTTCCCACAGCCAGGGTGCTGCCAGGGGCTGAGGCCAGTAACAGCCCTGCCAGTAGGGGGCGCTCGAGGGAGTGCTGGAGGGCAGGTGTCCGTGGCAATGTACCGTTTCTGTTTCCTGTGCTAAACAGCAAAGAGTCCTCTTGAGATTTGTTTCATTATTTTGGAGATAAGCAGATAGTAGTAAAACTAATACAACGCAGTTTCTCAGATTAAAATGATGCTTTTTTTTTAAAGATTTATTTATGCATACAAGAACTGGGTCACAGGCCAGTGGTATGGGGGGGTGAGAGATTTCCCCAGAGACAGAGTGGGGAGCAGAACAGGCAGATCCACTGAAATACACTGCTGAGGGGAGCCGCAGGCCAGACAGGAGAGAGGTCTGCCCCCCATATGGGTCAGCTACCTGGCAGGAATTGAACTTGTGCTACAGTGGCTTCAGGTAGCTTCATAGTGTTGCGCTTTAACTCATTACTCCACCAGGGAAGTGATCCTTTTGCTTTCATTTTGGAAATTATAAGTCCTTGTGGTATCGTTTTTAGTATCCTAGAGAAGTTGTTGGAGTAGAACTAATTAAATGTCCCATGACCATACTGTCTTATCAGAGTGTGCCGGATACAGTTTACTTTAGCAGGCTACTAGGTCAATTTGTGTGGACCAGAAGCCCCAAAGCCTGCACTTAGGGAATAGATCAGGTTTTCATTAAGAGGTCCCAGGGCATTTGCCTGATGTTTCTGAAACAACTTGTTTTTGGAGAAATAGCAGATCTGTTGGTTTTTTTAAATCTTGGCGAGAAGTCGCTGCTGTCCTTTTTCCCTTTGCCAGCTTTATCATCCAAACCATCATAAACCCTTCATGGTAACACAACTTGATCTTAAGTAAACACAACCTGTGTAGTGGTTCTGTTTAACTAGATCAATATTTGACTGTCTTAATACCAGATTCCTTACCTTGGTAATTTAGTGTCCATTAATTTAGACTATGGTTTATCATTACCTAATCTTGCTATAGTGATTACACCTATTTAATATAGCTAACAAAAATCTCTATATTCTAAGGTTAGCAAAGTTCTTCCGTTCTTGGCACAGGGTAATTAAATTATTTCTTCTCTCATCATTTCTTATGCTTTTAAAAGTTCTTTCCATTATTATCACCTCTAACTGATTTTTTCCAAATCCAATTAACAGGTAAATAATGATTTGTAAAGCAAAAAGTAACACTTCACTAGCATAACTCTAGAATAAGGCAATTTTTGTTCAATGAAAATTGAACATTCTCTTCCTACTGAATATAAAATATATACTAAATTAATAGCTTATTTTAGTAAAAGTTATTTGATTTAACCAAAGTAACCAGTGCTAATGAGAGAACAAAAAAAAAAAATGCTTTTCCCTGGAATATGTTTTGCATATTGGGATTCTTCTGTTCATGCAGATCTAAAAACAGCTTCTCTGCTCATATGACTTACCACCACTGTCCATAATGAAACAGCAGTGTTAGATTATTTCTACTGGTCAGTGGAAGGAATCCTGGGAGACCAAGCTGGATGCTCTCTCACTGGCTATTTGAGCAGAACAAGAGTGTTTCCTGCCAGGTGACCCATTAACTCCAGTCATATAGGTGTCTGCTTTATTTCCCCTCCCCTAGTTATATTAGCACCCCTAGTTTCCAAAACTGATAGTAATCAAGATTTCCTTTAAGAAAAAGAATTTAGTGTTCGGTCACTTTGAAAAGATTCAGTGCAACGCATAAATGTGATAACCAGTTAAATCATGTTTCTAGATTGTGGGGTCTCGTTGTGGTCTAGAGTCTCTGAGGCCTTGACAAGGCCAGTGTGGCACCATCCACCTTTGCCCTCTTCCTATAACATGGCCAGAAATAGAATCAACAGGGACCTAGTGCAGCTTACACAGCAAATGACCTGACTCAGCTTATATCATTCCATAGATAAGATTTTCCAAGTCTCAATTTTTTAGATATTTATTAATTTATGCATACATAACTGGGGTACAGGCTAGAGGTGTGGGGGCGATGAGAGGATTCACCAGAGACAGAGTGGGGAGCAGAACAGGCCAACTGATGAAGTACACTGCTGAGGGGAGCAGCGGGCAGGTCAGGAAAGGTCTGCTGTGCCATGTGGGTCATCTCCAGGGCAGGCAGGGATCAAACTCGTGCTGAAGTGGCTTTAGCTTCTTAGTGCTGTGCTCTTACCCGCTGCGCCACCAGGGAGGGCCCCCAAGTCTTAATTTTTTAAAGACATGACTACATCAACAAACAGGAAGTTATTATTGTCACACTTTCAATACTGGAAGCATCAGATGCCGGATATTTTTCTCTTGTGCATGCGAGAAAGATAAGAGAAAGACAAAATAATTTCAATGTGAAAAGCAAACACAGCCCCCCAGTATTCTGGGACAAGGCGCAAGGTGGCGCCTTCCTCTGTAACAAAGTACTAAAATTTCCCTCTCTACTGTTTTCCAGATCCTGGTGTCATAAATGATAATGTCAAGGGGAAAATAGAAACTTCCCAAATGAAATCAACACAACTGGGAAAATGTAGAAATTTCTATGAAGTAGGAAACTACCCTAATACCTCTGTCAAAGTTCAGAGCATTTGTTCACTCATTAGTCAAAGCTCAGCCTTAGTGTCAGTACCTGTTTTCATGACTTAAAATTGCCCACCTTTAAACAAAAGTGTTCTTAAGGAAAACTGTTGGCAAAGCTGAGAAGGTGCCACAGCACTTCCTGCGGGATTCCACTGTGGCTCTTACTATATTGCAAAATGTGCATGTAAGTTCTGTCTGCTCACATGATAACTCGCCGAGTGTAAGACTTTCCTCGCTTTATTTGTGAGCATTCACAGACACTAGCACACATTCACATTCTTGGCTTCTGGCTGTCACTGCCTCCCTAATTCCATTCTTTCCCCAGAAGGAAGTTATTCTGAGGTCCTCCCCTTTATCTCTTCTACTCCCTCCTCTGCCTTTTGCCTCTCCCCACTATTCACCTGTACCCCCTCTCAGTAATCTCCCATGCACCGTAGTTGTCAAATTAAAGAAAAATCTTAGATTTTCATCTTAATGGACTTATTAGAAAATCTGACACTGCTGAGTAAAATGATTCTTTAGAGATTCTTTCCTCATTTTTTCCTCCACTCTCTGATTGCTTTCTGTGTTGACCTCTGCTGTGGCCATTTCTGTTCTCAAGATGTTCTTGTTAATCCTCATCAACCCTATTCATATACCATGTATACATGTACCACATAAATATATATACACCATATATATATATATATATATGTCCTGTATATATACATGTACCATATATATTCATAGATTCACACCCCTGTGTATCTTCCACAGAGAAAATACTTCTGCTGCTTTGGCACCCTCTTCTCTCTCACATCCTCATTCATCTGGGTAATTAGCTCACTCAACCATACTTCACCTCCTCTGAGAACTCGTCTTTCATGACCTCCTTCTCCTTACTCACCTCCTCTTTGTTCATAGTATCAAACTATATTCTCAACCTGTGTCTTTCACCTCCATTCTGAGATTACTATAATGTATGATACTTAATAGAAACTCAGTGGATTTTAATGACTAAATGGGTGAATAAATGAGTGAATATTGGGCCAAGTGATTTATGAAATGTGCAGTATTTATGAGATATAGTGTCAGACTTCTGGTTTGGTAGCAAATCTGCATGATGGAAGAAATCACTCTTTTCTAGACCTTTTTTTTTTAACCTGCAAAACAAGGAGGTCATACCAAGACACAATGAAAGTCCACATTTACCTCTAACATTCTAAGCTCTCCATAATTATCATTTCACAGAAAAACATGACTAGTCATGAACTTAGCTAAATATTCCTAAATCAATACATGGTCTTTATGCCTCATTGTGGACTACCCCATCTGGGCAGCCAGTTTACAAAAGAGGCTACCAGTTACAGAAGCTAAACTGTTTTCCAAAGAAAGAGGTGCCTATCCTGGTGGAAAATTAGAGCTTACTATTCCTTCTGATATGTTTACTAAATATTCCTACTATTGAAATGCACCTTTGTGAGGGTTAAGTGAGGTTCAGACTGTCAGGATGCTGCTACTGGGTAAGGTGGGTGTGAGTGTGGCCTTACGATGACTCAGCCTATTCCCATCTCAACATGCCTTTCCCCTCTCTCGCAGATGGCAGTCCTTACACCTGGTGGGTTGGCAAAGCCAATGAGAAGCATTACTACTGGGGAGGCTCTGGCCCTGGAATTCAGAAATGCGCCTGTGGCATCGAGCGCAACTGCACCGACCCCAAGTATTACTGCAACTGTGATGCGGATTACAAGCAGTGGTGAGTGGGGTGGTGGGGTCTGGCAAGCTCACCCTTCCAGTGCGCCTGTAGGTCAGCACAACCAGAAGAGAAAGTTTGAAAAGTGCTGAAATAATGAGATAATAGTTCAGAAAAGGTTGGAACTACCCCAGCTGACAAATGTCAGGAATATTCTGAAAAATATAAAAGCAGAAAGAGGTCGGTGCTACAAGGGTATGCATTTAGAAATAGACCGACAGGTAATTGATGTGTTCATATTTTATTCAGAGGGGAAATAATGAGCCATGCAGTAAACAGTGATTTGCATTGTAAAATGTGCTTTATAACAATAGAAGGGAAGGCTGCAAGCCAGAGCCGTGTGTGCGGCGTGTGAGCACAGCCAGCCAACAGCCTCCCACGGAGACGGCTCCTACCTCCTGCAATGTTTGCTTTGAGTAGCTGGACAAGAAGGAAAAAAGAGAGCGGGGGGGAGGGGAGGACAAAGGGAAAAAAATAGTTATTTGCTTTTGTGTGCAGCAGCAGCAGCAGCAGCGCCTACCCGGCTCCTTTGCTTTCATGCCTTGAACTCTTTATAGCTCTGATACAAATCAGTTCATGAAAGATCTATTTTGGGTTCCTTTCATCTTTCCACTGGCTTTTGTCCTGCTTCATGGTGACTGGCTGGGTCTGTGTCAGTAATAGATAAAGATAAAATCAGCTGTCATTCCGTGTGAAAGAGAGGCCCCAGAAGTTGAGGTGGAAGACACAAACGCAATGTGTTTCTCCCCAAAACCGAGAATCCCACACCTGCGCTGGCAATTTCAGCACCATGGAGAGGTGCTCTGTGCGCGTTCCTGCCGCTGGGCGGCAGCAGAGAGCAGAACCCCGAATTCCCTCAGGTGACCCACCAGCTTCCTTCCTTGTGTGTCGCTTTATACAGTGTTGAAAGGATTTGCAAGACAAGATCATTCTGCCAACTAACTGAAAACGAATGCTGAATCTAAAGTTACATGATTTTCAGGGTGAATGTCTGTCTTCTCTCTTTAGCAAATGAAGTAAATCACCGAGACTATATAGTCCAGTGGCTTAGCATTTCTGTGGTTGCATCAATAGGAATCATTATTCTTTCATTTTGGTTTATTGTGAAAAGAAAATCAGGACAAGAAATTTTCATGTCACTTGTTTAGAAATGTATCTATATGAACACACACATTTGTTTAGAAATGTATCTATATGTGCACACACATTTGCAGCTGTAGAAAGATCGGGAGGCCAGGAGAATGTCAATATTGGTTGGACTCTCGGTTACTGGGAATAAAAGACTAACAGGAGCAAGACTCTGCCATGACTAGTACTCTTGTTGTTGCTGCTATGGGTTGTGTATCTGTAAGCAGGTTCCATACATTCTCTCAGCGTCATGTCTGTCTGGCATTGACTTGCAGCCCCTTGGAGAAGCATCATGCTCAGGGCTTAGGGCACAATGTCAACTAGAGCCTGCTGTCTTTCCTCCAGGAGCTCAACAGTAGTAGGGGAAAGGCAAACACATGAACAGTTTGACAAATAAGGGTCCTAGGAAGACTTGCACAGCCAAGCCAGTGGGAGGGGATGTCAGTCTGACTGAGGCAGTGGACAGGGACTCGGAACATCCTCCCGGGAGAGGGACACTGGAAGGAGAAGCGTGACTGTGTGGGGCGCTCTGCGCCTTGCCTGCCTGCCTGCCTGGGAGACGCCTGAATAGCCTCAGTTGGGGAAACATCAGTGCAGTGGGTTCGGAATGTGACGTGTGGGGAGAGGAGGGAACACCGTGCGGCTGAGCACGTGTGGTGTAAACTTTAGCACCTCCAGTCATGGCCAGAGCTCGTGTTCACTGGCAGTGAGCCCTGCGGAGGGAGGTCTGGTGGAGGCAGGAGGGAAGGGAGAGGATGTCCCGACCATCCTTGAAGGACATTTAGAGCAGGTCATCGAGAGGAGAGGGTATTCGTGAACTGCGTGGGGAGTGGGGCTTAGGACTTGACAGGCCTGGCAGTGAGCACAGAGGAGTGCAGCAGGCCCCCTCTGGGCCCCGAGGTGGAGGCTAAGTGAAGCCATTCCTTAGGGTAAGTGGTGACAGCTGCAGATGATGAGCTCGACTTAATGAAGTCTGAGCATCACACCTCAGCCCAGAAGACCATCATTAGTGGGGTTACCGATATGAAATATAGATTTCAGAGAAATGTATTTGCACCTGACCATCTCCGAGAACAGACCTGAAGTCAGATCCCAGGTTGGACTGATCGCGGACAGGCCTGCTCAGCCCCACTCACAGACACAGCCCAGCATGTTCTGATTGGGCCATAACATGCCACAGTTACTCGGGGACTGGCACGCAGCTGCTGTCTTGATCCCTCTGGCTGAGCCGCTGATAAGGCATCTTTTTGCCTTTTCGTGCTATAAAACCTGCCTGATGCGTCATAAAAGAGGCACTGTATTTTGAGCCAACTGAAAAGTATAATGAATATGTTTATCATACATAGCTATTAAAATGATCTTCCTTATTTAGCACAAGAAAGAAAGCTTTCAGGGGAGTGTAATTGGTCTTTAAATTCACCAGAATCTGACACACAGTTACAGATAGATGCATTCAGTGTTCTGGAAGAAGCAGGTTTGTTTCTAGAGACTGTTCCAACCTTCTCAGATGCAGTGAAGAAAAAACTAGGTTTGAACCAGGAGAGCTTGGGGCCCAGCAGATCCAGAGGGTCTTTCAACTCCTCTGGGACCAAGACTTGCTGTCTGTATAATTAAACAAACCTTGCCGGGCAGGCTGGTGTGAGATACGGTAGAATAGAGAATAGGAAACTATTCCGTAAATTGTACAGTTACTGTTTGCAATCCTTTGCTATGCAATTCAGTGAAAACAAGCTGGCATGGGGGTTTCTCCCTGCACTGGCGCCGGGGTGGCTTGAAGTCACATTCCAGGCACCACCGGTGGTGTTGGGGGATAGACTATCCTGGAAACATGTACAAATAAGGGCCTGTCAGTGCCAGCCCTCACCCCATCCACCCTGGAAAGGAGGTGCCAGAGTCAGCTGCTCTGCTGAGCAGTCAGGGGTTTGTCCCAAGGGGCCTTTGTTCTCACACTCCCCCTCGGGCACAAAAGAGAGTGACACTGTCAGTGGCGGGAAGTGAGTCCCTAAGGCACTGGCTGGTCTGGACCCAGGCACAGCTGTCTACACTCGCTATCTGAAAGCCGTGTTTTCCCTGTAAACCAGAGGACGGCAAGGCCCCAGCGTAGAAAGTGGAGCCTGGTGCAGCCTCCCCAACGAGAAGGGAAACCCCTGTTCCCCCACCCCGGGCCACGTCCAATGTCCCCAGGGCATGTCCCCCAGTGGCATGCACAGGATTCTTTTTGTCTGCTTCAGCACAAGCTGAGAGGCTCAGGGAAAGGAAACGCCCATAGGTTCACACATGTGAAAGCATTTGTTTTGATAGTAAAGTGAAAGTGAAGATTCTGCAGAATCTTAGACTTTCAGACTCCGTGTCCCTGTTAGGAAGTTGCTTCTCCCAATCATCTTCCCTCAGTCACAGTAAATTGTTTGATTAAAATGGACCCAGACCAACATGAGGGCAAAGTTGTCCGGCATCTGTGACCTAAGTGGAGACATTTGACTTCTCCAAGTTTGCATCTCTGCAAAATAGAGGTTGATGGTACTTCCCAGCTCGTAAAGATCTTGGGAAAGGGCTGTCGTAAGTGAGTGTTTGAAATGACAGCCAGCCATGTTGTTTTTATTAGTATGTGGATGTTGATTGGAGTCCTAATGGAAATGGCTCAAATGTCTTGAATTACGGAGTCATAAGTTGGGATCTAGAAAAATTTATTTTCCAACAATTGCACTGAAACTAAGCAGCAGAAACGGCAGCTCAGATTCCCAAGGTGCCAGTCTAACACCTTTTGTTTTGTGTTTTAGAATATTAAGTGCAACAAAGACTTTGTTTTTTTCTAATCTTTCAATGATTTATGAATTGAAAGCTTTAATTAGTTCTATGTCAGTTTTCAATGTAAAGCTTAAACAATAAACCACATGTCACATGCTCTTTTTTGAAGAACCCTACAATTTAGATGTAGCATTTATTCTTATTTACTATAGTAAAATACAGGGGAAAAATGGAGCCGGGATAAATGAGATTGTAGCTCAGAGTGTGACTGGGTCTTCGGCAAAGCAGCAAGGGCCTAGGAGAACTATAACCATCTCAATAATTGCCTGATTATCTATGCTGTGAGAAGTTTTGCACAGTTATTTCTGAGATTGAATGTAATTTAACATTTATGATTTACTATTCACAGCAATAGTAAATATTCCCACCTACGGTGCCAGAATCCTAATTAAGCGAGCCTTGGTCTCAGCTAAGTGCCCACCACCGGGTAATTCCTGGTCTCTTACAGCCCAGCTCAATGAGCTAAATCATCGTATCTGAAATTAGCAATTCTAAAACAGAATTACCAGCAAAGATGGGCCTTCTGCTGCCTGAGTGCCCGTCTCTCATGGTACATGTGGAATGTCTGGACGTTGGTGCTGGCCAGCATAGGCACATTCGTGGGGATGTCAGCGAGGCAAAGCTCCCTTGGTACCGTCTGTGTTACAATGAGTTAACAGTCTCCTCCGTACTGGAAAGGCTGCCCCAGCACCAGACAGTGTCTCGGGTTCCAGTGAGCCCCTCCCAGGCCCTCCCTGTATTCAGGGAGGACGAGCACTTGCTCAGGCTGACTGGTCGTGCCAACATGAATTCCATTCAGCAGTAGATTCCCGATTTCAGCCGCACAGGACTGTCTGTAGCCACAGTCGTCATTGTGGCACGTTCTAGGTACCTGGGCCCGTTGTTTGAGGTTCCGGTTTCCGTGACGCCTCCTATGGACAGCAGTCTCTCCCAGCCTGTGCAGTACATCCAGTTTTGCATCACGATCTCCCCTCCAAGGGAGGAGGTGTCGAGGAACCCCCTCTCTCAAAGGCATTTTGGAAACATTCCTGTCAAAATTGTAACATATTGTTTGACTGAACCCTCACTGT